CCACCTAGTCCTAATCCTAGAAGGACCCAAGCCGCCCTCCACCTACTTTTAAACCAGCTGGCATCCCCTGTGCTCCTGCCCTGTGCTAGTCCGGTGATTATGATTACTGTCCTCCTGTCTCCCTCAGTGAGGGACACACACCTGTCCCCAGACAGTGACAACCCAGAGTGGCAAGAACTGGGATGGGGGAACACAGGGGGCTGCAGGAACCCAGAACTGCAGCTGACCCTGGGAGGTCAGGGAGGGCTTCCAGGAGGAAGGGGCACCCCAGCTGAGACTGGAAAGATGAGTGAAAGGTGTTCTGGTGTAAAGGGAGCTTGGAGGCCTGCATCAGAGATTGAGTTCCCAGCAACAGAAGCCGCCTCTGGGGCAGAAAGGGACTTGATGGGGAGGGTTTGGGATCACTCACTGAATCCCAGGGGTGATTAGAGAACCAGGATTGTAAAGTGATCAAGAACACTGGCAGCTGGCCTGCCACTGTAGCCCAGCCACAATCACGCCACAGAACTGGTCTGATGAGGATACTCTGGTCCCCCAGTGACCACCGGGCGCTAATCATCTTGCTGCCTCTGCTGCCCCAGAGGCGGGCTGTCTGCTTGCTATTGCTTAGAACAAATCCCACCAAAACATACTGGCAAACAACAGCAATCTTTTCGTTCTCTCTCATGGTTGCTGTGGGCCAAGATTTGGGGAAGGGCTCAGTTGGGGGATTCTGGCTCAGACACAGTCAGCAGCGCAATCTGTTGGTGCTAGGGGCAGGCGAACAGGCATCCCTCTGCCATCCCAGACCGCCACTTACTGGCGGGGCTTCCCCACAGCATGGCGGCCTCCAGGGAGCCAGGCTGCTTAGATGGTGGTTGAAGGCTCCAGTGACCATGCAGAAGAGGCAGGGCCTTTTCTGCCTAATCTTGGAATCACGCAGTGTCACTTCTATGACATTCTGTGGGTTGCAAGTGAGTCACAAAACCCCACAGATTTAAGAGGAGGAGACTTAGGTCCCACATCTTGGTGGAAGGAGCTTCACGATCAGATTGAATGTAGAATAAGATGCTGTGGCAGACATCTTTGGGAAACAGACTGTCTCAGGGCCACGGGGGGTAGGAAGGAGGGGATAGGTTACCCTGTCTCTGCTTCTCTGGCATTATTAGGTCCTGATTGTCCATTTGCCCACCCACCCACCACCCACCTGTCCATCTTGTCGGTTCACCTATCCATCCATTCACCCACCCACCTGTCCATCCACTTACCCATCCATCAATCTATTTGCCCCTCCACTATAGCAACATTTGACAAGTTAGGTCACCTTAACACCAACCTCAACCTTGTAGGTTTCAACAGAGGGCTTTCAGAAAGCAGAATTTTTTCTCAATATGGGTAGGGGGGGTGCCAGTGCTACCCAAAGCTCTCCCTAGAATGTCCACTATGGTCCACCCCATTGAAAACTCAACATCACTATGTAACCCTTGTTCTATACTTATATTCTCATCCCCCCAAATTTTCATCTAAATTCTTCCTGCACAGCTGTCTCCTCACTCAGACCAAAAATTGCTTTCACCGGACTCCCAAAGACTACCCAAACCATCAATAGTTGTATTTCCCCAGGTGCAAGTCTGGAATCATTGGGGAATAGCCAATTCCCCTCCAAATGTCTCAGGAGCTGTGAATGAGTCTTAAAATTCACCTTCCCATACTGTGTGTAAAGCAATGGGATGAAGGTAGAAGAGAGAAGGTGAGTTCGTTAGAAATGTGTGGACCTCCTTGGTGGCCTATCGGTCAAGTCTCAGAGCTATTACCCCTAAGTCCTGATCTTGATACCCTCTCACCCCCGCCAAGGAGCTACCCACATGGCGCAGCAGACCTCTCCTGTCTCACGCTGCTCTCCTCAGCAGTGAATTTCAGTAGATCCTCTTGCTCTGCTCCCCTCTCTGTCTGGTAAATCCTCTCACCCCCACACACACACCTCTGGCCTACGCCCCAGTTCTTCTACAAAAGAAATTTTAAAAAAAATTTTAAATGTGTGAGTGTGTTCACATGCAATAACAAAGGGATTGGAGAAGAAATTCATTTTTACTTGGCTCTTCCTCTAGCCACACACTCTTCTAGGCACTGGAGAGACAATGGTGAAAGAAATAACCTGGAGCTTTATGTTCTGTGCAAGGCAAAAAAAATAAAATAATAGGTGACAGAGATGAGGGCTCTGGGGGGAAATGCAGTAAGAGAAGGCCAGTAGCAGAGACTGGGTAGCAGGAGCCCCATTTTACAAAGATGGTCATGGGAAGCTCTGGATGATTTTTTTTTTAAAGATTTATGCATACAAGAACTGGGGTACAGGTCAGAGGTGTGGGGGGTGAGAGGATTCACCAGAGACAGAGTGGGGAGCAGAACAGGCAGATTGACTGAAATACACTGCTGAGTGAGCAGTGGGCAAGACAGGAGAGCTCTGCTGCGCCATGGGGGTTGCTCCCTGGCAGGCCAGGAATCGAGCTTGTGCTGCAGAGACTGCAGATAGCTTCACGGTGCTATGCTTAACCCCTTGCACCACCAGGGAGGCCCTCTTGGATGAACTGATGCTGGATGTTGACACTGGGGTGGAGATTTGCAGCAGGCGCCGGAGGAGTTGTGTGGGGGAAGACCATCCTAGCAGAAGGAAAGCAAGTGCAAAGTTCCTGAGGCTGAAACAGGCCTGGATTGGAAAACATGGTAGCCCGGAGGCGAGGGTGGCAAAAGCAGAGTCAGGAGGGGAAGAGAAGGGAAGATGAGATGGGGTCAGGGAGGTGACACAGGCCAGATGGGCGACCCTGTGACTCCTGGAGGAGACTTTCGCTTTCCTTCAGGAGTCAGAGGAACCAGGGGAAGATCCTGAGCATGAGGGTGACCTGAGCTGACTCACACTTTAATGGGATCCCTCTGGCTATTTTGCGGGAATGAATTGTAGGGGACAAGGGCAGGTGACGTCACAGCACTACTTTCTGCAAGTCTGTGAGGGACCGAGGCTGGTGTTTGTGACTTCTCCATGCATTCTCCATATAGTCCCCTCACCTAGGACCTCATCTGGTTGGGGTCTTGAGGCAGGTGGAAGAGACCACTTCAGGGGGTCAGCCCAAGCAGTAGGGCCAGAAGAGCTGGGGAGCAGTGGGTGCATGGGGTCCCAGTGTGTGAGCTTGTCAGGGAGCTCGGGGCTGCCTGCATCCGTGAGTGAGCGTGTGCCTGTGTATCCCATGACCTGTGCGGAGCCTGTCTGAGAGGGGTTGGCCAACTGAGCCAGGGTGCTCCTAAGTCTGAGCCTCGCAGACCTTCTCCAAGTGTCTGCTCTGTGCCTCCGTCTTGTGCTGGGGACGTAGCAGTGATGGAGACAGCCCTGGGTCTGCCCTTACAGGTCCACAGCCCAGTCGGGGTGACAGACACACCCCCAGACAGGGACCAGCCAGAGCCAACAGGGCTGAGGTGAGGAAGTGAAGGGGTGTACCCCACCCAGCCAGGGGGCAGGGAGGGCATCCTGGTGGAAGGGATGGTGAAGCTAATAGGAAAAGGTCACCTCTCCCTGGATAACAATTGCTGCCCTGTGTCAGCTGTGACTCAGTAGCCTTGACCAGTCTCATGGACACTCACAGGCTGACCTGGAATCCATCCTCTGTGGCTCCTGGCAAAGCCAGCTTAGCAGTGGCCCCCAGTCTGCTCAGGGGGCTGGGGAATCTCTCCCAGCTTGACCAGCCATTCTGACCAGTGCCCAGGCCTGGCTTCCCTGGGGTAACCAGTGACGTCTCCCTCCCTTGCTCCCCACCCCCACCAGCACCCCCAGCCAGCAGACAATCAAGCCAGGCTTGTGGGAGCCTGGGGCAGTCAGATCTGTGACCCCCCAGGCTGACCTGTGACCCAGGCTCCTCTTCCTTCCTCTCAAGTGCCCTGGCTTCCTCCCCTCCCCTGCTCACCTGCCTGCCAGCCCCATCTCTTCCCCCTCCCCCCCCAGGTTGGGAGGGGGAGAAGGGGAGAAGGAGGGAAGAAGGGGGGTGGCATTCCTGGGATTCCCTGGATGGGGGGAAGAGAGGGAGGGCCCCACAGAGGAGAGCGGAGGAGAAAGCACCCCGCAGCCCCCCTGTCATCGCCGACGCCTGCCCGGGCAGAGCTGGGATCTGAAACCCACTGGAGAGAAGAGACGGAACCGCAGGTTCCAGACCACTGGGCAGGCAGGAAGGAGCGCGGTCCTGAGCCCTGGCCACAGGGACGGGCTTGGCTGGGCACAGAGGGAGAGGCTTTCCAGGCCGCTGGCCGGCAGCTGGGGGTGAACACAGGCCACCGGCCACTCCTGGGTGGACCGGGAGAGCCCAGCCCCGCTCAGCCCGGCGTCACTGGTCCTCCTGCGGGAGGCTCGCGCACGGGCCAGCCTGGGGGCCGCGGGCTGTGCGGGATAGGCCAGCGCGAGCCCTGGCCACCCCGGGGGCGCTGGCCAGGAGGAGAGAGGGCAGCCCGGCCACCGGTTGGATGGGCTCGGCCGGGTAAATGGGCCACGGGAGAGGCGGGTCCACGCCAGTGGCCGTGGCGGGCATGAGTCCCCAAGGCCCCTGGCGGGGAAGGGTCCGCAGCTGTCCGGGGAGCTCGGGCGCAGGACGCTGGCTGCACTGGTCAGTCTGGCCGGCCGCGCGGGCCCTGATGGGGCGCGCAGCGGGGCTGGGGGCAGAGAGCCCCGCTCCGGCACCGCCGGGAGGTCTGCTGCGGGCAGTGGGAGGTCCTGGCCCCGCGCCCGGTTTAGGGGGACGAGGGGGGCCGGAGGGCGGGGCGGGGCGGGGCGCCGGGGGCGGGGCCTCCTCCCTGTCCCGCGGTCGCCCCGCCGCAGCCCGGGCTCAGTCAGCGCCGCCGCAGCCGCCGCCGTGAACATGGAGCCCCGGGGCACCCCCGCCCGGCCCCGCCGCCGGGCCGCGCGGCTGCTGGTGCTCGCGCTCCTGCTGGGGGCGCACCCAGGTACGGCTCGGGCTGAGAGCAGGGCGCGCTCAGGGGCGGCCCCGGAGGACCCCGGGAAGGGAAGGGGAGGGGACTTTCGGCTCCCCCGGGAAGCAAAACCTGGGGACCCCAGGAAAGCAGAATAGGGGAGCTCCTTTCGCGAGAGACCTGGGGAGAGCCTGGCACAGAAGCTGGGGATACCGCAGCAGTGGATTAGACTACCTGAGAACGCAGCCCCTCCCCGCTGGGGACCCAGAAGGGTGGGTCCTCAGCTCCTAAAATTCGGGGCCCCCAGTCCCCTGCTCTCTCAAACCCAGGGGTCCAGGCCTCCTATGGCTGGAGTAGCCCCCCTGGGGACCCAGAAGACTGGAACCCTGGGGGTTCCCTTTCGCAGGTTCTCAAGCTTTGAGAGGGCTAGGGATTCTGCGGCCAGAACCCAGTCAGCCACATCCTTGTGAGGCTGTCCCCCAACCTAGATGGGAGCCCAGGCGCTGGAAAGAGCCCGCCCCCCTCAGGAGAGGGCTGGCGCCTGCCTCAGCCGGCTGCTGTGGATCAAAGTGATTCCAGTGACAGTGCCCCCTTCCTAGGGCCCCTGATAAGTCCACACACCTGTGTGGCCGTGGCAGGGGCCCTGCAGGCCGGCGGCAGAGTGGCAGAAAGATGAGCGGGATCCGGAAAAAGAGATCTGTGGTCTGCCTGCCACTCGACCCCCTCCCATGGGTAGGCCTGGGCCAGAGGTGGGTGCCTGGGAACCCAGGCCCCTGGCACAAGCCTGGCAAATAGTGGGTCCCCAGGGGCAGGGCTGGGCCAAGCTGGGCGGGGAAGGGAAAGGAGGTTCTAAGAACGGAGAGCTGAGGCCAGGATCCCAGCCCGGAGGGTGCGAGAGTGTGGTTTCTCCAATGAGAGCAGCTCTATCCGCCAGGATCCTGGGACTGAGGAGAGGCTCCCCGCCTAGCTCCCCCGGGGCCAGGCAGGGAGTCCCGGGGCCCCCCAGCTCCCCACTCCCTCAGGACCAGGGCCAGACCTCAGTCCTGTCCTGTTCCAGGTGATGTACCTTCCCCCCTCCCTGGCCCTATCTGAGAGGCTGGGGGCTGAGGGGGCAGGTAGGGGGCTCTGGCGCCAGATGGGGCAGGTCTGAGCCAGCCTGTCCCTCCCACATTCCTGAAACCTGCCCAGCCCTGTCCCCCCTCACCGCCCCCACACACCCATCCTGCCTGAGCTCCAGGCCCAGCCCCAGCCTACACCCCAGCCCCAGCCCCCCACTCTCGAGGGAGAGCCCCAGGGACTGAGAGATGGAGACTGAGAGGGACAGGCAGAGAGAGACACAGGGAGAGGCAGAGACAGTGGAACTAAGAGATGAAGACCCAGATAAGAGACACATGCTGGAGAGAGACATGGACTGCGGTCACCATATCAGGCCCTGCACAGGGGGAGAAAGTTCTCGGGACAAGCCCTCGCCCTGCCCTTGAGAGGCGTTGGGCTGGCGGGAGAAGCAAGAAAAAGTGACTTCACCCCAGAGAGACTGAATGGAGGCCACCAGACATGTGTGGCCCAGGGGAGGAGGCCTTGGTTCTGGACGTGAAGGGAGAGATGAGAGAAATGCTGTGGGGGTCAGAGGCGCAGAGATGAGAGATGGAGGGAGAGAGATGCTGTGTCTGAAGGAAGAGGGGCTCAGAGTACTGGTCTCAGGGAGGAGCAGCTGGGGGCCTGGACACCTGGGTCTCAGGGAGGAGGGAGCTAAAGGATCAAACCCCCACTGTTGAGGGAGAAAAGTGCCCTCAGGTTACCCAAATTCGTGGGTCCTAGGGAAGGAAGGGGTGGGGGCCTGGACTCCTGGATCTGAGGGGGGAGGGGCTCTTTCTGGAAGGCTTTTCCTATGGGTGCTTGTCCTAGAAAGACCAATTGATCTCCCATAGGTACCTTGGCTGAGGTGCACTTGTCTGTGCCCCCTCTGGTGGAGGTGATGAGAGGGGACTCAGTCACCCTGGACTGTACCCTCTTGGAGGCCCTGGACCATTTTGTGCTGGAGTGGTTCCTGGTGAGTGCTGTGGGCTGGCGACCAGGGGGCTGCAGAGAGGGGCCTGGAAGTCAGGCCTCAGACAGGCTCCAAACATCCATTCCCTCACCAGAGCCCCAAGGATCCTAAAAGCTCTGCCAAGCTCCCTTTCCATTTGCCAGATCCCAACTGAGGCCCAGCCAGGGCAAGGGGCTGATGTCCAGGCATCCCTGAGACTAAAATGAAGAAACCCCACTTTAGAGGGCTTGCTGGCTCCTGAGAGAGAACTTGCAAAGAGACGCCCAGAAAGCCAGAGACCCAGGCAGGGCTGAAGAGAAATAAGAAGCAGAGAGAGGGGGGCGGGGGGCAGGAGAGAAAGTGAGATGGGGCGAGGGAAATGGTGGGGAGAGGGCAGAGGGACTAGAGCGAGAGCACACAAGGGGAAAAGAGACCCCAGAAAAGCAGAAAGAGGGACACTGAGGCTCTCCCCCCCACAGCCCGACCGCTCTGGGGGCCGCCACCTCCTAGCATCCGGGGAGCAGCAGGGCTCCCAGTTCCAGAACCAGGTGCGCGACTCCAGGGGCCGCAGCCCCCCCTACCGGTTGGACTCCCAGGGGCGCCTGGTGCTGGCCGAGGCCCAGGTGGGCGACGAGCGGGACTATGTGTGCGTAGTGAGGGCGGGGGCCGCGGGCACCGCGGAGGCCACCGTGAGGCTCCACGTGTTCGGTGAGTGTCCCGACCCCGCCTCCGTGAAGGGGCGGGCAGGTAAGAGCCCAGAGAAGGGGCTCCCCACAGTGGCATCTCTCCCACAGCCAAGCCAGAGGCCACCGAGGTTGCCCCCAACAAAGGCACACTGTCTGTAATGGAGGACTTTGCCCAGGAGGTATGGGGGTGGTGGTGGCGAGATTTCTGGGTTCAGTGGGAGGAGGGAACAGGGGGGCCTGACTCCAGGGTAGTGAAGGAGGAGAAGCAGGGGGCCAGACAAGTGTATCTGAGTGGGGAGAAGTCCCAAAGGAGAGGGGACCCCTTCTTCACAGCCACACTGTGTCCCCCTCAGATCGCCACCTGCACCAGCCTTAACGGGAACCCGGTCCCCCAGATCACATGGTATCGGAACGGGCAGCTCCTGGAGGTGCCAATGGAGGTGAACTCAGGTGAGGAGCGCGGGAGCCCAGCTGGCCGTGGGGGTGGCGGGGAGAGGCCGGAGGCTGGCTGACGCCCTTCCTGCTCTCCCAGACGGCTACACGACCAGCCGCACCGTCCGGGAGGCCTCAGGACTGCAGTCTCTCACCAGCACCCTCTACCTGCGGCTCCACAAGGCCGACCGGGACTCCACCTTCCACTGCTCTGCGCGCTACAAGTTGCCCAACGGCCGCCATGGCCGCCTGGACAGCGCCCCCTTCCACCTCACCCTGCACTGTGAGTCCACGCCGGCCCTGTCCCCCCTACTTTGGGCCCCACATCTCTCTGAGGCCTGACCCTCCAGGCCCACCCTGACTCTCCAGGCCTGACCCTCCAGGCCTACTCCCCTTCGGCCCACGACGCCACCCCCCTGGGGCCACGCTGGCTGGCCGCCAACCTCTGACCTCTAACCTCAACTCATGGCACAAGCCCCCCTCTAACCTCAACTCATGGCACAAGAGGGTTCCACCCTCTTCCCCTTTGCCTGGATGACAATGCTCTTCTGGCTCCTCTTCCTCTTTCCCCTTTGCCTGGACCTCTTCCCCTTTGCCTGGATGCTCAGTTTATCTCAAGCTCTGACCTCTGGTTCCCTCTCTCAGAACAAGTGAGAACCTGAACCTCAAAACCTGTGACCTCTCACCTGTGACCTCTGTCCCTTAGTCCAGCCCTGTCTTTTGCCCCTGACCCGCCCGATCCTTGACCCGCAGTCTGAGTCGGCCCTGACTCGCCCCTTCCGCCCGTCCCTTAGATCCCACGGAGCACGTGCAGTTCTGGGTGGGCAGCCCGGCCACCACAGAGGGCTGGGTGCGCGAGGGCGACCCCGTCCAGCTGTTCTGCCGGGGGGACGGCAGCCCCAGTCCGGAGTACACGTTTTTCCGCCTTCAGGTGACCCCCCCCCCAGTCCCTGACCTCTGTGACATCCGCACCTGCACTGACTTGCGACGTGGGACCTGGGTGGCCCCCGGCTTGGCCGGGCGGGGGACCAGGGACCAGGAACTAACGGATCTCTGAGCCCGGGCCTGAGGGAGTCCTGACTTAGCCTAAGACCTGACTTGGGGGACCCCTGACCAAACAGGGCCTCTGACTCCGTCCTTGAGTGGACTTTGACCTAGTGTGATGCTGACCTGGTGACCACTGACCGGCCGAGCTGCCCGCCTCTCACCCCTGCCCTGGGCGGACTCCCCCGCCCCCGGAGTTGCGTGGCTCCTGAACCGAGTTCCTCGTCCCCGGTCACCCAGGACAAGCAGGAGGATGTGCTGAAAACAAACCTTGAGGGGAACTTGACCCTGGAGGGGGTGCAGCGGAGCCAAAGCGGAACCTACGGCTGCAGGGTGGAGGACTACGACGCAGCGGAGGACGCGGAGCTCTCCCGGACCCTGGAGCTGCGTGTGGCCTGTGAGCGGCCTGGGCCGGGGGAGGGTGCCCCGACGCCTGCTGCTTCCTCTCCCTCGCCCCGACCCCACAGCCCTGCAGTTGCCCTGTCACCTCAAATACTCTGCCTCTGACCCTTTCTCTGCTCCCTGACCCTTGGTCCTGATGTCCCTCTCATGCCCCCAGGCCCCTACCCCAGCCCCCTCCAGCATCCCCACGAGGCAACCAGGGGGCTTCTTTATGAAGCCCAAGACATTTCCCTGCTTAGAACCTGCTATGGCTCCCTAGTTCCCTCCAGAGAAAGCCCGTGTGACGCACTCCAGCCTGTCTGGCTTCACCTTTGGCTGACCTTTCTCCCTGCAAACATTCCTCTCATCACACCCCAAGCTTCCCTCCTTATCCCTACCTCGACTCCCGTCTTCTCCACCAAGCTCTTGGCTCCCACTCTTCTAAGAACCTCTCAGTGCACTTGCCCCCCTCCCCCCAGCCCTGGGCAAAGACTGTTCTTCCTCAGCCCTCCTCATGCCTCCATTCCCGGGGTCAGCCCCTGTGCCAGATCTCGGGGACACATCTGAACAAGACACCCCAGGCCCCGCTTTCACAGAGCTCCCAGTCCAGTGGGGAGACAGATGGCAAAAGCTAAAGAAGACACTTGGAGGCACCAACACAGTGACGGGATAAGGAACTGGCCAGACCAGGAGGGGGAGTTGCAGGCTGCATCCCCGGGAGAGCTGCAGACAGGAAGTTTATGGGGAATTCTGTGGAACCCACATCTATTAGGGGTCAAGGAGGTAGGATTGGGCAGAAGGAGAAGCTGGGATGCAGTCTAAACAAGACCTTGAGGCCTCCCCAACACACACACACTCGACACTTGGAAGCACCAGCTGGGGCAAGGGAGGCAGGCCACAGGCCCTTACACCCCGCATCAACCAGTTGTGGGATGCGGGCTGCCGGGGGAAGGGGACGTGACCTTGAACAAGGGGTTCTCTGCAGCTGAGGCAGTTCCCAGGGAGGGCTTGACAGCTGAGGGCCCACAGCTGACGCTCTTCTCAACAGCTGGGGAGAAAATCCTTCAGCACTGAAGGGGAGCACTGACAGCCCATGATCAGGGGACAGAGAGGCCTCTGAGAAGAGGACATCTGAGTAGGAAACCAAAGAATGGAATTAGAGATGCAAGGAGCCAGAAGAGCATTCCAAGCAGAGGGAACAGCAGGTGCAAAGACCCTGAGGCAGGACCCAAGTAGGCAGATGGGCGTAAAATGGCAAGAGAGCGGGGTAGCTGGAGCTCAGGGGCCATGGGGAGGGTGGGAGGTTAGGTCAAAGAAAGGAGCAGGATCTTAAGAAGACCAGGGGGGATCTTTTGGCTTCCTCAACAAATTTGGCCTTGATCCCAAGAGTGCTGCATTTTCAAATACAGGAGAGGGCCAGCCCGTGGCCCGCTGGCTGTTCAGCAGAGGAGAGGGTGAGTCTGGTCCAACAAGGAGACCAATGCCTTGGTGACTGCAGTATTAAGGCAGTCGGGCCTGGGGCTAGAGATGGAAAGTCCTGGAAGGGCCCATTACAGTGGCAAGACTTGATGAAAGAATCAGAGTGTGAGGGGGAGGCAGGGGGCTGGGCTTAAGCAAAGGGCTTGAGTGGTGAGCCAGGGAGGAACACCTCACGCCTCCAAAGTTATCTGCTGACCTTGGGCCTAGATGCCAGCTCTGGAGCAAAGGGGTCAAGTCAGGCCCAAATTCTGGAGTGAGGTTTGGGCCAGAGCTTTGGCCTGCAGAGTCCGCAGAGATGGGAGAATAAGGAATACACCGTGTTCTCTGCTTCCTCGGTCCCTTCACGTCTGAACCCCCAACAGCCCTGGAGAGCCCCTGAGCGAGTGGGTGAGGGTCCGGGGAAGGTGACGGTCTGTACCCCCCTCCAGACCTGGACCCCCTCGAGCTCAGCACTGGAGAAGAGCTTTCCTTGCGCCTGGGCAGCAACACAACTGCCAACTGCTCTGCCCGAGGACTGCCCGCCCCTGCCCTCCGCTGGACCAAGGTGAGAGGGAAGGAAGCCCCCCACACTGGGACCGCCCTTCCACCACCCTCTCCCCTTCTTATGCGCCCCTGGCCTCTTCCCCTACCCTCTCCAGGACTCGGTACCGCTGGGGGACGGCCCCACGCTCTCACTCAGAGGCATCACCTTCGATTCCGCTGGTACCTACATATGTGAGGCCTCCACGCCCACCGTGCCCCTCCTCAGCCGCACCCGGAGCGTCAGGCTGCTGGTCCAAGGTTTGGTGGTGGGGGCGCCCTGGGATGGGAACAGTGGAGGTGGGGGGTCCAGGACACGGGGTGGGCTTGTGGCTGGTCCCTCTGCCCGCTACTTGGTTGTTTCCCCTCCCCCACCCCTCCCCCTGGTGTAGCTCAGCTCACTCCCTCCCCATCTCCCACCTGCAGGGGCCCCTGAGCTGAGGCCAGAGGAGACTCAGCCCCACATAGAGGGCAGCTGGAGGGAAGGAGATGAAGTCACGCTCACCTGCTCTGCCCGAGGCTACCCAGAACCCAAAGTCACCTGGAGCCAGTTGGGTGGCAGTGTAAGGAACACCCCCACCCTGAGCCCTCCCCAAGCCCCTGATGGGGGGACCCTGCCTCCTCACGGACCCCAGCATTGTGTCCCCGCTCCTGCTTCCCTGAGGACTGGACATCGCCACCTCTACCCTCACCCCAGTCCTTGACCCCCTGTGCCTGGCCTGACCCGAGCCTCCACAGCCAGCAGAACCGGCCCCTGGGGGGCAGGGCTGGGTGAGCAGCTCCCTGACCCTGAAGGTCACCAGTGCCCTGAGCCGAGACGGTGTGTCCTGTGAGGTCTCCAACCCCTACGGGAACACCCACCACGTCTTCCACTTCGGCACTGGTGAGCGTGAGCGTGGGACAGGAGCCCGGCACGGGGCGGTCCGGGGTGCCGGCTGACCGCATCCTGCTCTGTCCTGCCCCTGCAGTGGCCCCCCAGGCTGCCCAGGCCGGAGTGGCCGTCTTAGCCGTGGCCGTCAGCGTTGGCCTCCTGCTCCTCGTCATTGCCGCCTTCTACTGCATGAGACGCAAGGGGCGCCCTAGATGCTGCCGGAGCGGGGAGAAGGGTGCCCCGTGAGTGGCCCCAACCAACTCCCACATCACCGCCCACCCCAACCCCATCACCAGTGAGATGCAGTCCCCCTCCAGCCTCCAGCTCCACTGCAACCCCAAACCACCCCATCCCCAGCGCCAAACCCAGCTTAACCTGTCTCAGCCTCACCTCCACGTCCAGTGCCAACCCCGAACCCACTTCCTAGCTGTCCTCAAACCCATCCCCATTTCACCTCCGGCCAACCCTGCCGTGAGCGTCCCCAGCCATCCCCTCCGCAAGCGCCAAACCCCAGTGGAGCCACACCCCGTTCCCAGCCCCTTCCAACCCCATCTCCTTCCCACTCCTCACTCCAGAGCTTTCCCCGCCCAACCCCACCTCCAGGCCCCACCCCCCATGATGCCAATCCACAGCCACGCCAAAGCTACCCCCGACTCTGTTCCCAGCGCACCTGCAAGACCTCTTCCACCTAACCCCAATGCCATTACCACCCCCTACCCCATCCCCAAGCCCTTCCCACCCACCCCACCCCCGTCACCCCCACCGGACAGACCCCACTTCCAATTCCTTCCCCAGACAAGACCACCTCCAACACACTGGCTCCTCCCTCCCCCCCCAGGCCACCTGGGGAGCCAGAGCTGAGCCACTCGGGATCAGAACGACCGGAACAGACAGGCCTTCTTATGGGAGGTGCCTCTGGAGGAGCCAAGCGTGGCAGTGGGGGCTTCGGAGATGAGGTGGGTGAGGGCCGAGCTCGCTGGTGAGACTAGACCTGCCGTGCCTGCGGGGTGGGGGTGGGGGTGGGGTTGGAACAGCCACCAACCCAGGGCACGACTGACCTGATGGCTCCCTCCTCCCCCTAGTGCTGAGCCCAGGGGACTCCTAGAGGCGCTCACTGGACCTGGCGTTGCAGGCACCAAGAACCAGCCCTGCTCAAGCCTCCACCCGCCCCCACCTTCCCATCCTTCCGCCTTCCCTCTCAGTGGGCCCAGCCAGGCCCTCCCTTCCTTCCTCTGCTGGCTGGGCCGACCTACAGCTCCAAGCGCCTGCTGCTGCAGGGAGGGAGAGAGGGTGGTGGGAGGGGACCTTCCTCCTGGGAGTGTGACTCTCCCAGGCCCCAGAATAGCTCCTGGATCCAAGCCCAGGGCCGGGCCTGGGACAAGGCTGAGGGTCGGCCTGCTGGCTATTTTTACCTCCAGCCTCCATGGCTGGTCCCCCCACCTGACGTCCTACTGCATAGTCTTGACACTGGATTCCCCATCCCCACCCCCACCCCATCATCTGTGGACACTGGAGTCTGGAATAAATGCTGTCTGTCACCTCGACACCATCCTGTGGCCAGAGCCTCCTCTGGGGATGAGAAGGGAAGGAGGTGCAGGTGATCCTCCTCACCCCACCCCCCAGCTGCCCCTCCCACCCCTTGCTAGACCTCAGGAGAAGTCTGATGTCATGGAGAAAGAAATGAGAGCAGAGGGTGAGTCAGCTGGCCAGGGGTGGAGGAGAGCAATTTGGGGGTCCAGAGGGCACTGAGCTCAGCTCCTGATGACCATTGCCTGCTGGAGAGGTGGGGTGCTGTCCTCTTAAGGAGAAGTTCCCAGTTTCTCTTGCCACCCAGAGCCCCAGAGGGAATTGAGGCTGGAGAGGAGCTGTGCACTGGATGGAATTCGGGATTAGGATGGAGCCTCTGGAGCGGTGGAAGTGTCCCCTGGGGAAGGAAGGGTCACTTGGAGGAGCCCAGATGAGGGACTGGGGTTAGAGAGCAGAGACAGCAACAGCAGCAGCAGTGAGGCCAGCTAAGAGACTTACTCAGGGGAGGGAGAGGAGGTTCAAAGAAGATGGCAAGACTTAGGAGGAGGAGGAGGAGGAGGGATGGACTGGGGAGTCTGAGCTGAGAGAGAGCCTTAGGGTCAGACAGTCAGGCCGCAGGACATCTGGAGAGAGTCAGAGACAGACCAGTAGAATTAGGGAGCAAGAAAGCAGTGAAAGCAGAGAAAGATCTGCGATTCGGAGCGATTATTACTCTCAGCAAGGAGAAGATGTTGCGGCCAGCAGCCCAGAAGCAGTGGGAGAGGCGTGGGAGGTGAGCAGCGTGACCTTGGCCAAGTGCCTTCAGCGCCCTGAGCTCATTGGATGCAGGTAAATCACACTCGGGGCTGCTCCGAGGAGTCCACACCTTCCCTGTGTGGTCTCTGCGTTCAGGGGCCTCTAATCTGCAAGTGGCTCCTCCTCTCTGCCCTCAGTTTGCTCAGCCACAAAATGGACAAAGTAGAATCTGTCGCTGTGGGAAATTGGCAAGTGGCTGTGGGAACCTCCTGGTAGGTTTCGGAGAGGCTTGGCCAGACACCCCGGAGCAGAACTCACCAACCCAAGCAAGACTCTTAGATTTCGTGGTGGTTTATTGAATCCATTTAAAACAAAGATGAGATGCAAGCGAAAGAGATGGAACAGGCTAACATAGATTGGGGCACAAGCATTCAGAGGTCCCCACCATCTGAGTTCTGGAGAACACCTGGCTCCATGTCCCGTCTTTTACCAGGGTGTGTTTTTTGGTTTTTTTTTTTTTTTATTTTTTTTTTTTTTTTATATAGAGGCATGTTTTATTTATTTATTTTTATTTGTTTGTTTGTTTGTTTTTTTGTTTATACATGCACTGGGTACAGTCAGAAGTGCGGGAGGGTGAGAGAATTCACCAGAGCCAGAGCAGGATGCAGAACAGGCAGAAGGACCGAAGTACACTGCTGAGGGGAGCAGCGGGCGGCAGGAAGGTCTGCGCGCCATGTGGGACCCTCCTCCCGTGGCCGGGAAGCAGCCGGGGATCGAACCGGCGCCACGGAGGCCGCGGGCAGCTTCGCAACCCAGCGCTCAACCGCTGCGCCACCGGGGAGGCCCTACCAGGGTGTGTTTTTGATGCCCAGAATGGAAAGTAAGCCAGGGGGTTGGCACCCAGAGGGGTCCAGGGCCATGCAGGGGCAAATGCACCTGGCCATGACTGACTGACTGGCAGCCACAGCTTTAATCTGCATGACTTGAGTGTAGGACTCAGGGTACACAGTGGGAGTCCCCAAGGGGAAGCACCCTGAGTATGCAGCAATATTTGGGATTTAGCCCATTAGTCCCATATATGTTCAGTTCACATTTTTTTTTAAGAATTACTCTTTTTAGGGACCTCCCTGGTGGCGCAAGGGGTTAAGCACTGCACTATGAAGCAATCTGCAGCCTCTGCAGCATGAGTTCGATCCCCCGGCTGGCCAGGGAGCAACCCACATGGCGCAGCAGGCCTCTCCTGGCTTGCCCACTGCTCCCCTCAGCAGTGTACTTCGGTCAGTCTGCCTGTTCTATTCCCCACTCTGTCTCTGGTGAATCCTCTCACACCCCCCACCCCGCAACTCTGGCCTGTACCCCAGTTCTTATATGCATAAATAAATAAATCATTAAAAAAAATAATATTAAAAAAAAATAAAAAAGAATTACTCTTTTTAAAGATTTATTTTATTATATATACAAGAACTGGGGTGCACCCAGAGGTGCGGGGGGTGAGAGGATCCACCAGAGACAGAGTGGGAAGCAGAACAGGTGGATCTACTGAAATACACTGCTGAGGGGAGCAGCGGGGAGACAGGAGAGGTCTGCTGCACCATGTGGGTAGCTCCCTGGCTGGGGATCAAACTCTTGCTGCAGTGGCTGCGGATTGCTTCATAGTGCTGAGACTTAACCCTTCGCGCCACCAGGGAGACCCCTCAGTTCATATTCTTAATCTAACAACACTCATGAGTTACTTGTTAAAATCCATCCTTTGCGTTATCCGTCTTGTTTTCTATGTGGCAGAATCGAATGCTCTTGAATATTCTTTAAACAGACATCCGCAGACACACATGGAAGATCATAGGGCGACTGGGAGAATTTTGATGAGATAACTATGTAAAGTGTTTAGTACAAAATCAGGCACAAAGTATGTGTTCGGTTCGTGATGATATTAATGATGGTGGTGGTGGTGGTAGTGGTGGCCCAAGGAAAACGGAGAAACAGAGAGAAAAGGGAGGAAGGTCCCTTGGTCCAGTGACTGGATCAGGTGGAGGGATACCACTGTAAGGGCAGATATTCGTGAGGGGGGGCCGTGGGGAGCTGGAGGAACAGATGGATGGGGAGGGAGGAGAAGGGACCTGAGGGAGGAAGGGGTTTCTACCCAGCATCTGATCCCCAAGTTAATGAGAGGAGGGGCCTGGATCTCCTCCCAGGAGGGCATACATTTGCATGAGATCCCTCATCTGCATGGCATCCCAGGCAATTTGCATACAGATGGCAGCCTGAGCCCTCCTCCGTCTGACCCCCTCCTCCCTCCCATCTTGGCCAAGAGTCTAGGGGACAGGAACAAGGGGGGAGGGTGAATCACAGGAATTGCAGCTCCTGGAAGTAAATTGTGAGTAGAGCACCCCACCCCCCTGCTCACCAACCTTCCCTGGCTCTCTGTTGCCCTCAGGAGCATGAGTCACCTTTTACCTGGCATTCAGCATCTTCTGAAATGTTGCCCCTCGCATATACACACTCTCCCCTCCCACACACGCACCCCCACCTCGTGCCTTTGTGACTTTACTATTCCCCTCACCTGGAATGATCTTCCCCATTTACCCAGTTGTAGCAAGCTTGCCTGTCCTTCAAAGCCTGGACACTTGAAGAATTCTGAATTTTTTTGACTTCCCTCCCTTTCCCTGACCTGGAAACTTTACAGGATCTATGCCTCTTCTGGACACACAGGCTGTATTTGTTTTATTTAAATGCTGCTTGGTTGCAAATGACGACAAAAAGAAAAAGGTCAAAAATGTGTGTATATGGAAAGGAAAATTATCCATTCACGTAACCAGGAAATTCAAAGGCTGACTACCTTCTTGCATAGCTGGATCCAGGAGCTCAGAAAATCTCATCACAAAGCTGTCCTTTTGGGCCTCCCCTGGTGGCATAGTGGTTGAGCGCTGGGTTGTGAGGCTGCCTGCAGCCTCTGCAGCGCCAGTTCGATCCCTGGCCACCGGCGAGGGTCTCATTAAAAAAAATAATAATAATAAAGCTGTCCTTTTCTATTTCTCAACTCTGCTGTTATCCATGGAGAGGCAGGGTCTCTCTTCTCAGGTGCCACCCATAGTGCCAGATTTCTACAAAAAGAGGTGTTCTTTCCTATTAGCTCAAACCAAAGTCTCAGGGCTAATTGTCATTGGTTACAAATGAGTCACGCCTCCATCCCTGTGGCCAGGGGGTGAAGTGCTGATTGGCCAGCACTGGGTCAGTCTCACTCTCAACCCATATAAAGAATGGGTGTGGAGGGTCTTTCCTAGGAAAATGGGAGGGGGGCTCCTAGAAGAAGGGAAGGAGGTTGCTGGGCAAGTAAAACATTTGGCATCAACTCCAACAGGAAGCCTTTGGCCTTGTGCCCCTGTGTCCTGGCAGCCAAGTGCCAGGAGAAGTCAACTTCCCAGGAAGGACCCACCCAGCCTTGTCAACACACATGGCAGTGACCAGCCTGACACACGTCTCCTCCTGCATCTGAGGGGGGGAGGTGTTGGGAAGGCATGAAACTCCAGTTCCTGGTCTCATCTCTGGTCTCACCCTGGTCTTTCCTCCTGGTCTCACCTCTGCCCACAAAGGACTGCCAGGAGAGAGTTAAGCCCATTCATGGTCAGGCCAGGGGAAAAGTGTGTGCTAGAGGGCCTTCCTGGAGGAAGTTTCCCTGGGAACTGATTATTTTGTTGACGGGAGAAATGGGGGGACCAGAATTTTACAAAGCAAGTTAGTAGCAAAGATGGCATCTAAAACCCAACTATCCTGGCCCTCTAGTCTGACCTCAGATTGGGAAGAGAAGGACAAAGAGATCCAGAACACATCTATTATTTAACTATTTGTCCTGCGGCCTCAGACCAGGCTTGTGCCAAATACACTTATCTGTAGGTGAGAGAGCAGAGGTGGGAGAGCACAGGTTGCCTGGATTCAAATCCCAGCCTGCTACTTCGCTGCTGGATAACTTGGGGTATAGACTCTCTCTGTGCTCAGTGTACTTCTCAGTGAAATGGAGATCATGAATGGGTCCCCTCTGTGGGATTCTTTTTTTTTTTTTTTGTAAGATTTATTTATTTATGCATACAAGAACCGGGGTACAGGCCAGAGGTAGGGGAGGTGAGAGGATTCACCAGAGACAGAGTGGGGAGCAAAACAGGCAGATCTACTGCAATACACTGCTGAGGGGAGCAGTGGGAAGACAGGAGAGGTCTGCTGCGCCATGTGGGTCAGCTCCCTGGCTGGCCAGGGATTGAACTCATTCCATGCTGCAATGGCTACCTGTAGCTTCACAGTTCTGAGACTTAACCCCTTGTGCCACCAGGGAGGCCCCCTTCTGTGGGATTTTTTTTTCTCTAAGATTTATTTATGCATACAAGAGCTGGGGTACAGGCCAGAGATGGAGTGGGGGGTGAGAGGATTCACCAGAGTGGGGAACAGAACAGGCAGACTGACTGAAATACACTGCTGAGGGGAGCAGCAGCCTCTGCAGCCTCGCAGCCCAGCGCTCAACCGCTGCGCCATCCGGGGAGGCCCCCTCTGTGGGATTCTTAATTAAAACAAGTCATTCTGGATCTACCATTTTGCAATTCTGTGTCTTTGGGCCAAGTCACTTCATCTCTCTGTGCCTCCGTTTCCTTATCATGTCGAGTGCTGTGTGGGAAGAGATAACACTGACAGTGCCCTCAATTCCATCCCTGGCACATAGTAAGTGCTAACTAAATTTAATAGTGTTTTTCCCAAAACGTGATGCCGGCCAGTAAGTCCCCACTGCTTATAACCCGTCTAGGGAGTAAGCTCAGGGGGTGCAGGCGGGCAGGGAGGGCAGGCCCGGGGGTCCTCCTGCGAGGGTGAGGACTCCCAGGCGGCTGCCCCTCCCCCTCGCTGACCCGCTGGCAGCCTCGGGGCCTGAACCGAGGGGTTTCAGACGCCCAGTGGCATCTCCTCCCTCGGCCTCCCCCAGCTCCCCGCCCTCTCCAGGACGCGCCCGGCGGCCGCACCACCAGCCCCCCCGGGCAGCCCGAGGAATGTGAAGAGGTAGGTGGGGGCGGGGAGGAGCGGGAGCCGCCGGGAGAGACAAAGGGCCGAGTCAGAGCGAGAGACACAAAGACGCTGGGCGGCCGGGAGGACAGAAGTGGGACAAGGACGCGGGGAGGGCCCGCGGAGTCGGGAGGCCCGGCCCGGCCCGGCCCTGCGGGGCGCGCGGCGCGGCCTGTGCTGCCCCCTGGCGGGCAGCCGCGGGACGCGGTGGTGCGGGCCCGAGGGCGAGCGGGCGGGCGGCCGCGGCTGCGGGGGCGACGCAGCAAGAGGCTGGGCCGGGAGGGCGAGAGGCCGCGGAGACGCCAGGGACACGGGCGAGAGACAAAGGGGCAGCCGGAGCGGCATGGAGGTGACGGGGACTCGGGACAGAGGCGCGGGGCCGAGTGGCACAGAACCAGCGGGGGAAGGACCGCGTGGCCCGACGGCGCGTCGCCGCAGCGCGAGGACGGACGGGCCCGGCGGCGGGGGACAGGGCGGGGGAGACCAGAGACAGCCCCGGCGTCAGAGACCCTGCGAGACACAGAGGAAACGCTTCGTCTCGCGAAAGAAGCGATGCAGCGACTCCCAGAGTCCGAGGCAGGGACTGGGCGAGGGCGTGCCGAGGGGTGCGCCGCCGCGGGACAGCCCCCGGGCGCGGGGTTCGAACCCGGGAGGTGGGGCCTGGGGGCGGGGCTCCCTGGGGGCGGGCCCGGGGAGCCCACGTGCCTCACGCAGGTGTGACGAGAGGCTGCTGTGGGGGGCGGGGCTAGGGCGTGGGCGGGGCTAGGCTGGGGAGGCGCGCCCGGGGAGAGGCGCGACGGCCCCCGGGAAAACGGCTGAGCGAGCGGGGCCGTCGTGCGGGGCGTGGCTGCACGGGGCCCTCGCGGCCCGAAACTCCAGGGGGGCGTGGCAGGACCTTGGAGCCGCCGGTAGAGCGAGGGTGGGGCGCGGGGCGGGGCCTCCTCGCAGAGAGGGGCGTGGCCACCGCGCGGGGGCGGGGCCTGCAGGCCGCGAGGGCGCCGGCCGCGCGCGCTGGGGGAGGGGCGGCCGAGCGCCCGGCCGAGGCAGGTGTAGCGCCCTGGAAGGGGCGGGCTCCGAGGGCTCGGGAAGGGCGGGCGTGGACTCCCGGGGACGGACGGGCGTGGAACCCCGGGAGTGGGCGGGCTCAGAACAGCACGAGGGGGCGGGGCCGGAGCCTAGGGTCGGCTGGGCTGGGGGGGAGGGAAGGGGTGGGTCCTGTGACGTCAGCGAGTCCGAACTGCCAGAACCCAGAGAGGGGCCGGGGGCGCCGAGCCGGGGGAGCCGGGCCCCGAAAGCAAAGCCGGGAGAGCGGACTGAGGCGGGAACTGGCCGGCAGCCCGAGCCCCCCGACATCTGCTCGCCCGCCCAGCCCATCGGCGCCCGCAGAGTGGCCCTCGGGCCCCCCCCGGGCCCAGTCCCTCCCCGGGCCCCCCATGGCCCGGGCCGCAGCTCCCCCGCTGTCCAGGTCGTCGCCGACGCCGCCGCTGCTGCTGCTGCTGCTGCTGCTCCGAGAAACCGGTGAGAGACCGCAGACGCCCCCACGCCCCCGCGGGGACCCAGCCCCGAGAGGGGGGGAAGCCCGAGCACCTTCCCCAGCCCCCCGGCCCCCCCTTCCTCGCGCCCCCGGCCTGCCTGGCCCCCGCGTCCCCGACCCACACACACCCGGTCGTTCTCCGACCCCGACCTTCTCCTCGCTGCATCCCTCTCACCCCCGCACCCCTCGAATTGCAACTCCCCATCCTGCGCCGGACTTCCCTGCGCCCCTCCCCCGCCTCGGACTGTCCGCAAGGGTTAAACCCGGCGCCTGGCGCCCCTTCCCCACCCCCCGCCAATCAGCGCACCCGGATCCTGGAACGGGAGGAATGTCGCGTCCGCCCCCCCAGCGGGAGGGTCGCGCCGTGGAGGCGAGACCCCCCCCCCCGCTCTTCCTCCTCCGGAGGTCGGGGACCCGGGCCCGACAGAACCGCGGGCGCGAGGCAGACGTCGAGGTCCCCGCGGCGGGGTGGGGAGCTCGGACTTCGGGGCTCCTGCAGGCCGGGGCGAGGGGTCCTGCGGGCCGGGGCGGCCTCGGGGAGGGCCGGGTCTGCGGACTTCTGGGTCCCGGAGAGCAAGAGGCTGGGGCCTGGCCCGGGCTCCCGGAGAATTAGGGGGTGGGGGCCAGTGCGGGGGGGCCCGGGCGGAGTGGCGAGCAGGAGGGGCCCAAACTTGTGCGTTACGGGTCGTGAACTCCGTCTCCCGGGCCCAGGTGGGGCGGCCGGGGGGCGAGAGGCCCTCGCCGTGGGCTCGGGGTTTCATGGTGGCCTCGGGAATGTCCTCCGAGACCCAGACGGGAGCGTGAGCCGGAGACCCCGGCTCTCGCCCTCTGGACGGGTCGGGGGCGGAGGCGTCCTGGCCGCGCTCCAGGTGGACGGGGCGGCCGCGCCCCGCAGCCCGGGACGGCACCTCTCCCGGTGGGCGGCGGCGGGGCCGTCCCGGGGGAAGTTTCCCGGTTTCACTTTCGGCGAGCCCGGCGGGGGCGGGGCGGGCGCTCCCGACTCCCGGTTTCGCACTCGCGGCGCCCGGGACCTTATCTCGCCTCCCGTCGCGCCTTTGTCCTCCGAGCCGCCGCGGGAGGTGGACGGGAGGAGACGCCGCCCTCATCCCCCGGCCCGCCCCTGGGCTGCCCACCACCCCCTCCAGTTTCTCCCAACCCCCGAGGGGAGGGGCGCAGCCCCCGGGGGAGGGAGGGGCGGGAGGCCGCAGGTGGAGGCGCTGGCCCCGCCCCTTACAGGTGACCTGACTTATTCCCGTCTGCAAACTGAGAGCACTGGGCTTTCCTGAGGGTGTCCTCCGAAAACAGGGGCCTCGGGTGAGAACTCTGGTCACTCTTTGGCCTCATGTTCCCGGCAGGCTTCTGAGGTGTCTCCCACTTTGACCCAAAGCTGCTGTGGCCTCTTGCATCCCCCGCCGCTCCCTTCTGTGTGAGAGATAAGGGGATGAGGTCAGCTGGCACAACCTGGCATCTTTGGGGAGATTGCTTAGAAGCCGCCTGACTTGAGCCAGCTGTGTGCCTGGAGCATGATCTCATGGGAGGTTCTCGATGACGCTGGCAGAGAGAGCCTGTTCCTGTGCCCATTCTGCAGATGAGGAAGCAGCTTAGGGTGGCAAGCCGCTTTCCCAGAGTCTGCAGTCTGTGCCCTGCAGCCAGACTCCACAGTTGAATTTCTTTTTTTTTTTTTTAAAGATTTATTTATGTATTTATACAAGCACTGGGTACAGTCAGAAGCGCGGGAGGGTGAGAGAATTCACCAGAGCCAGAGTGGGGAGCAGAGCAGGCAGAAGGACCGAAGTACACTGCTGAGGGGAGCAGCGGGCGGCAGGAGAGGTCTGCGCGCCATGTGGGACCCTCCTCCGGTGGCCGGGGAGCAGCCGGGGATCGAACCGGCGCTGCAGAGGCTGCGGGCAGCTTCGCAACCCAGCGCTCAACCGCTGCGCCACCGGGGAGGCCCCAGGCTTGAATTTCTTGGCTCTGCTTTACCAGGTGGGAAGCTAAAAAGTGCCGCCGAGGTTCCAGTCCCTCTGTTGTGAAACTGAAAGGCCCATCCCTGCCCAGCAGGGCCACTGGGGGGATTCTCAGGGTCCACTGACCCCATCTGGAAGCTCTCAGCACCTGGGCGGGAGACCTGCCCCTTTGCTCACCTTCTACCCCTGTGCTTTGCGCTCTGCTTTCTCACCTCTCCCGCGCCTCTCTGCTTCCGTGTCCCTCTCCTCTGCCCCTCACCTGCTCTCCTCCTCTTCCTCTGTCTTCATTTCTCCTCCTCAGCTTCTCTAGCTCTCTCCATCGTCCCTTCTCGCCATCTCTCTCCTCCTCTGCCTGTCTCCAGCTCCTCGGCCACCCCCGCCTTGGCCGCCACGGGGAATTAAGGTGCACCACCTGGACCTCCTGCTGGGCTGACTCACCTCCCGAGTACAAGCCCCCTCCCCCCCAGCCTTCGCTGCTCATCCCTGTCAGCCAGGCAGCCCCAGGGAAGCGGAGGGGGATGGGTGAAGGACTGCAGCCTCCGGCCTGCCGCTGTCTCTCCCTGTTAGGGAAGGGGAACTGGGCAGCGGAGCAGTGGGAGCAGGTCTGCTGACATTGGGGGATACACGGAGAGAAGAGAGACCCAGGGATGGGGACAGAAGGCCGACAGGAATGGAGTTAGAAACAGCATTAGGGACGGGGTCAGAGACGCCAACAGGAAGAAAACTGAGAGGTGGGGGAAGGAAACGCAGCTCCAGGGATGGGACAGAGATCGAGGGTGGGGAGCTAGACAGACACGAGGAGAAAAGCAGGAACAGCTTAAGGAGGGAGTATTAGAGGCCCCATGACAGACAAGGAATCTGAAAGACCCCAACCATGAGTGATGCCCAGGGGCGTCAAGGTGTAGGCCAACCTCCAAGCCAGTGGTGCGGAGGGAGAAGAGGGCTGAGCACGGGGGTGGTGGGCATCAGAGGGACAGGGGATGGTGCAGGCTGGCCACTCCCCCCCTGCCTGGGGCACACTTACATATTTAATGCCCCAGCCATGCTGAGAACTGGAGCAGGGAGGGCAAGAGAAGAGAGGACCTGGCGAGATAGAGTCGCCCAGGCAGATAGTGTGTCTCGAAGATGTGGAGAGACAGGCAGAGATGGGGAGACGCAGGAGGCAGGGAGATCCCCAAGCCCTGAGGCACAGAGAAACAGATATCCTAAGAGTGTCTGGCTTAAGAGTGAAAGACTCAAGACACCCCAAGAAATGTAGAGCAGACGCTTTGAGAGATTAGAGAGCCCAAGAATCAATGCAGAGAGCACAGTCCAAAGATGGGGCGACCCAGACCTGGAAAAACAGACCTCAGATGTAGAGATACAGAGAAAGAAAACGAGAGCAGCTAGGGGGTACGGGGTGTCTTCTTGCCAGTGGCACATTCTGAGAGTGATTGAGGGGACAGATGCACAAGTATGTGACTATGGGGAAAGACCTGGAAGTGTGCGCTGTAAGCGGGTGACCTGTGTAGTGTGGGGATTATATTGCAGTAAAACGGGGAGAGGGGGCGCACAGACAGCAGTGAAGAAGGATTCTGGGAGACACCAGGTGTAGGAGAGACAGGGAGACCTGGTAGCTGGAGACACAGAGGGGCAGACTCAGGAGGCTGCAAGCAGAGACAGTCTCCGAGAGACAAGCACTTAGTTGTAAACATGGGACTGGGCAGAGGGCATATGAGGGGTTTGACCAAGATCAGCCACCTCCAAAAGTATCCCAGCCCACAGGGGAGGCCTTCAGGGTGGTCAGGACCCAGGGAAGGGCCACAATTTCAGCCCAGGGTGGGGTGAGACCTCCTAGTGCTGAGTGGCCACTACCAGCAGCAAGGCGGATGGGGTGGGGGACTGGAAAGCAGTTGCAGAAACCCAGGCTCTGCTTTCCCAGAGGATAGTAGTGGCTGCTGCTACTTCACCCCCCCGCCCCCGCCCAAACCAGCTCCCGGATGTCCGCTGTGGGGGTGGGGGCTGTGATTAATGCAATTAATTAATTAATGAGGTATCTGCAGCAGCAGCTGAGGCCAGGCTCAAAGCACTGGTCCTCTGGGGCCTGCTGGAGTCCCCCACAGCCACATCCAGGTCATGGTGAGAGGGCAGGCACCGTGTTTTATAGGTCTGGAGGGGGTGGCCAAGCCCTGAGGAGCCAGCTAGGCGGGCGCCCCCAAGGTTGGACCCCAGCCCCCACCTTCTCTGGGGTCCACAAGTCAGCACGCATCCTTCTCTCCACCTTGATCTCAGTGCGCCGGCCTGTGTCTCTCTTCTCCAAAGCTGCCCTCTGGATTTGTGCAGCGTCCCGGACAGCCACCCCAGGAAGCTGGCAGACCCAGTCTGCAGGGAAAAGGAAGTGTGTCTGAGGACCCAGCTGACACCTCACGAAGCTGTCACCAGGGTGGCTTGCCCAGAGAAGCCGGGGGAGGCCTGAGTTCCCACGGCTGCACTCCCCCACTCGGGTGCTAGCCATGTCCTGGCCAAGGTCAGGGCACAGGCACCTGCCCAGCAGAGCGCTGGACACTAGGGCCCTAACCCCAGGCCAACCCGCCTGGCTTCGTTCCCCCTGCCCCCACGTGCAACACAGAAGGGCATCGGCCCACATCCTCCCAGCCAGGGCCTGTCAGTCTCTGTCCCAGCTGTTCTACCCTCTGAACGTGCTTCTGAGCTGGCTGGCCCTTCATCCCCCTCAGCCCCTAGCCTGGTGCAGATGCCTCTTCCTCCTCCCAGTCAGTGCCTGCCTGCTCCATTCTGAGGGCTCTTTTTAAAGCACAAATTCCCCCCTCAGTGGCTCCCAGGACAAAGCCCCGCCTCTAATTCCACCTCAGCCTTTGTGATTAGTGCTCTCGGTCCTCCATTCGACACAGGGACAGAGCTCCCACATCACGGCACGCTCTGTGCGAGGCTCTGGGGGCGCAGCAGTGAACAAGACAGATCCCTGCCCCCTGGTGTTCGTGTTCCAGTGGGGAAGATCCACTGGGTGCTGTGAGAAAATA